TGATTCATTCGGACAGATGAAGTATTTAGATTCGAGATTGGACCTTTTGTTTCAGAAGTTGTAAACAAAGCACCAATCATTGATGCAGATGAATTTACTTCAATAGACTCACCTCTCTCATCAGATTTTGAAATTCAAGAGAAAGTGAAGGAAATAACATCTAAGGAAGAAAATGAAACAGATTTTATTGAAACAGAAGGAGATAAATTGGAAGACACATTCTTTGAAACAATGGAACCAACAAATAGACTCATTGATAGAGAGGTTTATAAGGATGAAAGTCTGAGAATGCACTTGTACGATGAAATTAACGATCTAACCTCTGAACTCTCAACTAAATTAAACCTTCTCAATTCCGTCCTTAGTGAAGACACTCCTTACCATAGAAATCAAGTCCCTTTCGAGTTTTTAAAGTCCATGCACAACCTTTCTGAAAGTATTTCATTCCTCACCAGAGACACGATATTCGAAAGACAATCAGAAATCAAATTTAGAGAACTAGAACAGTATGCAAACTCCTTAGAAAGAAAGCTTGTAAATTACAAAAAACTTGGGAAGGATTCTGAAGTTTCACTTGCTCAATGTAAAAAATTATACACCAAATCTAAGGATGAAAGCAATAAGAAGATTCATGACCTTACCACCTCCTTACACGGAAGATTGGATGAAATACAACTTCTTAAAAAAGGACTTTCCAATGAAAAAGATATAACCAATTCTTTAAAAACAGAAATTGATAGACTCAAATATAGACTATCAATTGAGGTTACACAAACAGAGAGTCTAAGAAAATCCAACGACATTCTCAGACAGCAACTGCTCAAAACACAAGATTACTCCAACTTTTTACACAAGGAAATTTTGAAAATAGAGGACTTTCCACTGAATCTCAAAATTTCCAATCTAATTTCTAATGAAACAAAACAATCACCAAACCTTAATCAAACGATCAATGCAACTTCAATATAAAAACATGGATCTATAAAATTAGCACTTTAAGAATTGTGTCACATCTATTTTCTATGTTAATATTGGGGAAGTGCTACTGAAGATGCACCATTTTCAAAGAAATTGGCTCTTTGGTAGAATTCTAATTTATTACCTTCTTAATTTCGGAATCTTCAAGAATGGAATTCCTCATTGGATGGTGTTGTTGAGAGGCAGTAAGGAGAGGAGAACTGGGTGATGATTTATTCCTTTATTATTATTAATCTTCTTCTTGTTTGCACAACATATCGAAATGATTGATCAGTTCTTTGTCAATATTCACACCATCCACTAAAAAAAGTTTGTCAGAAATGAATCGTGAGTATGTAGCATTGACACAATATTGGTCTTTAACTTTCTCTAATAATTCAAAGCACTCATCTCATTATGGAGAAGTTTTTGCATTACAGGTGTGTTTGCATTATTCAGTAAAATAGAATCAGAGGGATTTAACTTTTAGAAAAGTTGGCCAATTTCTTCTTTTGTTCCATCTATTACCATTAATTTCCCAAATAAATAAAATTTGTGATGGCCTAGATTAAGATTACCAATATGAAGAGATATTTTGGGGTTTTGTTTGTGTTGGAAGACTTGGCGTAAGATAATGGTTGTAGCAAAGTATTCTTGGTGTGTTGGTTTGGCTTGTTGATTGCAAACATTATTGAATATATGTTTGGTGAGTTCGAATAGTGAATTTTTTGAAGCAATTTCGTAAGAGAGGATACCATTATCCTGATGTTGTTTTGTTTTACCTTGGTATATGAATGAATTTTTCCAAATTACTACCATGAGCATTGGCCAAAAACAGCATACATTAGGTTCTATTCGAAAGTAATTGTCCACTATTATTTCTAACTTGTTTAAAATCGTTTAACGGGGGCTCAAGGTTATTGCAAACCAATTTAAAGTACTTTGCCACTACGGTATGTTCTGCTGTTATCATTTTTTCCATGTTGTTTGCATCTAAGGGTGGAGTCATTTTTTTTATTAAGGATTCATGGTTTGGAAAAAATGGAAGTGAAATTTTTTTCCTAACAACTACTTTATCAATTCAGGTGGCACACATTTAGCCAATTAATCCTGGTAAACATTAGTAGAAAGCACTTTGAGGTCGTGGATTAGGAATAATTTCTTTTGATTCAAAATACGTAACCATTTGTTTGGGTATTTCAGCTAGCACTTCAGAAGCTAATTGTGTTAAATCAGAACATTCAGAAAAGCTCACAAATTGAACAATGTCTCTTGTCATTTTAGTTCCATTACTGTGAATGAGTGGTTCATCATCAGCATCGAATTTTCTACAACTTGGGAAACTTCTACCACCAATACCAACAATTACAATTGAGATAGGTTTGTCATTGGCCTCTATAATTGAATCGATTGTGCCTTGCATGTCAAATGCATCACCATCAATAATTAACAATAGAATATTGTAGAATTGTTGTTGTTGAGTAACAGGAGGAGTTCTCTCAACGACATGTTCAATAACTCTATAAAAGTCATCTCCTCGATAAGGCTTTCCAGTTTTTGGATTAGTGGCACTTCCCATATCTCCAAATGATAGTCTTGGAACTGCCTTCTCATATGCTTCAAGTATTTCTCCTACACAAAGTTCCTCCTTATCTGAGAGTGACAGATTAAACATTGGATTCATTTTTAATTCCTTATCTATCCTTGCACCATATCCATATGCTTTCGAATAATTAGTGAAAGTGTTAAAAGTCAAATACTTACCACCATATATCTTGTCAGAATCATAAGGTTCCAAAATTTGCAAAACTTGTGCAAGGGCTTGTTGATAGTGATTCTTCTTGGAACTTAAATAATGGAGGGAGCTACTACTGGTGAAACCACCGTTTGATGCAGTAAAATCAATGCCAACTGATACTGAAATGTTACATCCTCCCATAATGTGGTCTAAAAATTGATCTTGGCGGTTTTCCTTCCTGGCAAC